TCCTTCTCCTCAGGGCTGCTCTCCACCCATTTGAACTGACAGGATGACTGTGTTCTCTGCCTCACTTTACCCCAATGCCACCATAGGCCCATCAGCTCTGCAAAGAGCTGCAAGACCTGCAGATGAGGTGCCTTTCACAAACAAATCAGAGTAAATGGCTGTCATCAGGGACCGATTCATCAAGGATCTCATGGATCCATCAGCAAAAAGCTGAACATTTCAAGACAAATCATCTGAGTGGCAGCAACTGGTCCAGCAGGGAAAGGACTTGCTATTAGCACAGATAAAGCTTTTAATCCAAAGCAGAGAATACCAGGGGCAAAAGAGACTCAGGACACCCACTGCACTGACAGACTCTTACCTTCAACGGCCTGTGTGGTTTGTAATGGCGTGGGCTGTACAGAACTGAAACCATTCTGAGGAAGAAGAGAGAAAAAAAAGAGAGTAAAGGGCACTGCAGCTCCTCGTTTCCAGAGGTAGATCTAGTGTCAGTCCCTTCCCACACTCCCTCCACGGCTGTGACAAAGGTGTGCTACCAGCACATGGCACCAGACTGCGCCGGGGTCGGTCCCAAGCTCACCTAACCCAGTGCCAGTGTCACCTCCAAGCACGTATTTGAGAAAGCAGCGCAAGAAGTTTCTCTGCTGCTGGTAGTTAGGCTGGCTTATCATCCTTAAACCAAGTTTGTTAGCCAAAATTGATGTTACTGAACTTGTGTGCAGCGTGCAAGAATCAAATCCTTAAGACAAAACTAAATCCTTTGCCTGAATGCCGCTCTGCAGCAGGGTAATTATGCGTGACACGACACACGGCCTGCCGGCAACTTAACCGCTGTTAACCTCACTGGCCTGGCCCCAGGTAAGTAATGTAACCAAGGGCTCTGGTAGCAGCGAGAAGAAAGCTCTCACGAAAGTCCACGAGCCACGTGGTGAGGCTGGAGGATTGCAGAAACACTTGATAAACCACTTAGCTTCCCCTGCGACAGTGCTTCACACGCTGTGTTTGCTCAGCACAATGGGTGAGCAAAGCTATCTCCCTACCTTGGCCTGGGTCAGGTCTTTTTGGGGAGAGGAAGAGATTGAATTTGGGTATCGCCTCGTCTGGGTGGATCTCTGCTCGTACAGTGGTCCCTGAGCACTGTTCTGGGAGGTAAATGTTGCTGTCTGTATTGTGCCGCTCTGGTAACCAGATTCCTGGCTTTGATTGGACGAAATTGTGGATGAAGATTCACTACAAAGGAGAAAAAAAAAGGAAAGAAAATAAAAGAAAAGGAGTTCACACTTCAAATCTGCAAAATAAAGAGCTCCAAGCATCAGCATAAAGGCACCACACAAAGCAGTCAAGCAAAGCAAGCAGAGAAACGTACCCAGACAAGGCCCAGCCTGAGCACAGGAGGATGCTGGCACCTCGCTGCAGTGTTCCCTCACACACTGCTGTGCTCCAGGGGACAATTCATGAGGTGCCATCACTAAGGTCCCAGCAGGGACTGACCAGATACTAAGGGTCAGACCAACAGACTCACAGAATGTCAGGGATTGGAAGGGACCTCGAAAGATCATCCAGTCCAACCCCCCTGCCAGAGCAGGGTCACCTACAGTGGGTCACACAGGAAGGTGTCCCGGCGGGGCTTGAATGTCTCCCGAGAAGGAGACTCCACACCCTCCCTGGGCAGCCTGTCCCAGGGCTCTGGCACTCTCACAGTGAAAAAGTTTCTCCTTATGTTGACATGGAACCTCCTGTGTTCCAGCTCACACCCATTGCCCCTTGTCCTACCATTGGGCATCACTGAGATGAGCCTGGCTCCATCCTCCTGACATTCACCCTTTACATATTTATAAACATTAATGAGGTCACCCCTCAGTCTCCTCTTCTCCAAGCTAAAGAGCCCCAGCTCCCTCAGCCTTTCCTCAGCAGGGAGATGCTCCACTCCCTTCATCACCTTGGTGGCTCTGTGCTGGACTCTCTCAAGCTTTGCTTTGGCAAGGCATCATCACCGTAGATACTCCTACTCCACCGTGTCCGGTTTTGCCAGGCAAAAAGCAGGACAAAGCACACACCAGGGGACACAGAGCAGTTGTGCTGGTGATTCCCCTCCTATGTTTCCAGCAACAGAGGGGGAAGCAGAGGCAGCAGGAAACGCCCACTTTCTGTGTAAGTACCACAGGCCAATCAGTCATAGAGCCACCTGAATGAGTCTGCTGGCAACTTACGCTTTGCTGTCGCATACCTTGTCCCCCCTTTGTGACCATGGCACAGTCAGAAAGGGTCTACTAGTATGCAGTGTAACTACAGCCTCAGGGACCAGCCACCTGCTTGGATCAACCACCCCCTTCCTCAGCCTGGCCCTCACCTAGCCGTGCTGGTGTACAGGCTGCTCTGAGATTGGCTCACGGCGGCGCTTGTTGTGGGCGTCGATTCATACTCCGCGAGAACAGGCTCCGAACCAAACTGTAACGCCCCAAACTGCAGGTTTAACCCTGAGATATCCGCTGATCCAGGCATTTCCACTGCAAGTGCAGGAATCTGCAAGGGAGGGACAACAGAAAGGGTCAGTGGCACCCTGGGATCAGCACAGAAAATTACATTAGTATCCACATTTCCCAGCACACGGCAGCAGCCACAAGGCTGGCACTCTGAAACACGCTGCTCCCCCCAGGCAGGAGAGCGTTCCTCCATCACCCCACAAACAGCAGCTGCTAACAGCAGGAAGACCAAGCCCAGCCCTCCCCTCACCAGCCCAAATGAATTGTTCTGCAGCTCTAACACAATGCAATGCCTCTTTCCCCACCACCGGTCCACACCTTTGATGTTAACGATGCTTTTTTCTTTTGCTGCTTCAGCTTCTGCTGCGCTGGCTGGGGACTGGAGGACTGGTTGTCCGAGGATCCTGGGGACATCTGGGGAACAGGATTGGTTTTGCTGGGCAGCGGCGAGGAAGGGGGTGCCGGCACGGTTGTGGAGGCAGACACCACAGGTTGTTTCTCTTGCATGAAAACCTCTATCATGGTTGAAGTTGACGTGAAGGCCTGACGCTTGGTGAAGGGACTATGCACAGAAGAGTCCGTCGGGTTCTTGAGATCTACCATGGGAGACAAAGTTGAGTTAGCAGGATTTGTTTCCTTAAAACTAAATCAAGTTCTGATACTTCTCAGCATCAAGAAAAATAAGATCATTTCACACTATGATTCCTCCTGGAGCCTGTTAAAACTGGAGAGCAGAGAACCTCAGCATTTCCACTCCCAGCCTTACGCTCTCACCACCATCAAGGCCAAGCCTTCTAAGACCTTCTCCTCTCAGCTTCTTCCACCATCTCCACCACAGGGAAGTCCTCCATCCTCCATGAAAAGCTGGACTTCAGAGTCCCTTGTGTGGAGGGATGACACTGCATGTCAGAGACCTGCACGGGCCTGACACCACTTTGTCCCCTCTCTCTGCCAACAAGGCTGCGTTTCCTCGCCTGCTCTTTCCCCTCGGGGCTGCTTGGGGCTGCCCACGACTGCACCACCCCCCTCCTTTGCCTCAGCCTTACTGCAGCTTATTAAAAAACAACTCCTATTCTCTCTGACTCTCTTCTGCATCTGAAAAGATCAGGAGCTGCCAACATTACTAGGACAGGGCTCAATTTTTCTTCAGTTCAGATTTGAACCAGAGCCATTTCCTTATAGCAGAAAATAAAATGCACAAGCTGAAAGAAATGGCCCTAGTACTCGACCACAGCAGGACTCAGCATCTCATCTGAAAAACAGGAGCCTCTCTTAATCACTGTTTATTCCCTCATGCCAGCCCTGAGGTAGAGTTACTTCTTGGCATTTAACAGTCACCAGAATTGAATTCCTTTAAAATTTTAATTCCTTTAAAAGATAACAGCAGGTCAGCAGTGAGCCGAGACTGACAAGTGTTGGTATTCAGGAGCTGTTCTCCAGAGGCGCCCGCTGTCTGAGCCCTTCTCTGTTACACAGCTTTACACCAGGAAGCAGTTCTGTGCACTGTGAGGGTTTCAGGAATG